TGATTATTTATTTATTTCGAAATATTATCAATTCTAAATAAATATGTTTTGAACAGAGAAAACATGACTATTTAAATAAAATTTATTTAAACAAAAAAATATAATTATATAAAATATCATAACTTTTTGAATTGGCTTAATTGGTGATTATTCATTTGTTATAAATAGATTTTTTTGTTTAATCAATTTTATTACTTCTTATTTAAAAAATTTTAAAGTTTTATTATATCTTATAGATATAATTATTTTTAAGATAGTATTCTTCACGCCTCAAAGCTATATATTCTTCTTTCATATTATTTCTATTTTTTAAGAATTTTCTAACATTTATTCCATCACATGATAAAGGCAAAAACTACAGGGAGTACCACAGCTTAACCGTAACAATTGCACTCAGCCACAAACAAGCATATCTCAGGACAATACATATACAATTAGTACTTGGATTTAGCATGCAAATGATAGCACACACAAGTCACCGCAAGCATCATATTAACTACTAAAATATAATAAATTTGACCGGCAAAATACAATATTCAGCTCGTTGACAATAGCGATATTATGTACTTTGTTCTTCCTACGATTATATCGTTGTCATATGAGATTAAACATTTTTCAGTGTTGAAAAGCAAAGTACTCAAGCATGGCTACCAAACAATACAGAAAGAGTATTTATCGGAAGAGAAAAAAACAGTTCCAATTTACCTCCTTGAGCTCGGTGGCGTAAAGTTCACCAGCTAGAACTTTCTCTCCGAACAATGCGACGGCCTCTCTAACCGATCTGAATGGTGCCCTGGTATCGATTTCTGCCATCTTGATCATCACAACCCCCACTTTCACCGTCCATGCTCATGAACTTTGGCAGAGAAATGAAGGTTGAATATTGAAAGCTGGCAACGAGTGAACCCTGTTAATAGGATATTTGAGAGAGGAAGAGGAGATGGAGAGGTGGGTTACAAGTAGCTAAATGTGATATGGGGTGGAGCAAAAGAAATATCGTGGGAAGGGAGCTTCGTTACTTGGCGTCCACTTCACTGGAATTCTATTTACATTTGAAGGTGAAGCAGGAGGGGTGAATGGGCTTTTGGTCTTGTAAAATTTGACTGCCGCCTATTTATTAGGCTCAAGACGGGGAACTTTTAACTATTCCTTTGAGTTTGAGGGCCCTTCTCTTATTGTTTTAATAAGCAGCAAATTGCCAAATTTTGCAAGATAGTTATCTTTCCCATGAGTGAGGAGTGAGAATTTCATGTTGGTTTCTCTCAAACAAAAGCCTTTACAATCCGAATGATGTTGGCACAATTATAAAACAAGTTAGTTCCAATTACCCTTTCAATAGAGTGTGAAAGTTTTCAACTTTCTCTGATCTGTTAGCCTGGTCCTTTATGGGTCCCCAACATATTAGTCTCTTATCGTGCACTCAATCGCATATGAGAGTATCCCAAAGAGGACAAATAAAAAAACATCATCAAAATACGATTGACCGAACAACAGCAAAGCAGAGATGTTGTGTCAACATCGTCTGGTCCTTTCAAACTGCTTCTTTGCTTTTTCTATCCCAAAAACCATCTGGAAGGTAAAGAAACCGTTTGGTTGTTATTAACAGGAATAACTTTTTTAAATATAGTGAAAAAAATTACCCAAAGTGTTCAGACTTTACCATCCTCGTACAAAATAAAGTTTGTTTTTCTTTCTTCTGTTTTTTGAGCTTAACTTTTAAGTGCAATGTTGGTCGCTGCAACCGCAACTGCAACGTCGCCAGCCGTTGGACGGTTCTACATCAGACGATCCACGAGGGGGTGCCTGCGTTAAGGATGGCCGTCGATATAGCACCATGTCAGTGGCTCCCATCTTGACCAAGCTACAGAAAGACTGTGCCTCTCCTTTGCCAATCCTTCGCCACGTGGCTGACTCCATGTCCGCTGAAATGGGTGCTGGACTTGCTGTTGATGGCGGAATCGATCTCAAGATGATCCTTACCTACGTTGATAGCTTGGCTACTGGGTACGTTCAAAGGGTTCAAGGTTTTAACTTACGTTTTAATTTTAACTTGGTTTTCTTATTAAATCTAAAAAAACAGAGTAATATTGTTGAAAGGAACGAAAAAGGATTGTTTTATGCGTTGGATCTCGGGGGAACCAATTTTCGGGTGCTGAGAGTTCAGTTAGGTGGGAAGGATGAGCGCGTGATCGCCACTGAATTCGAGCAAGTTTCCATCCCACAAGAAATCATGGTTGCTACCTCTGAGGTCTGCTCCTTTTTTTTTGAGGACGTTGAATCTCTTACAGGCAAATTTGTTTGTATTCATCTTGTTAAATGTGGTATGTCTTGATCCTGTAGGAGCTATTCGATTTTATAGCTTCTGTGCTGGCTTATAGCTTCTGTGCTGGCAAATTTTGAGCAAAAAGAAGGTGGAAAATTTCACTTACCTCCTGGAAGGAAAAGGGAAATTGGACTCACTTTCTCTTTCCCTGTGAAGCAGACATCTATTGATTCTGGAATTCTGATTAAGTGGACCAAGGGTTTTGCAGTCTCAGGAACGGTTTGTATTCTTTTTTTTTTTTGGTTTTGCTCTTAAAGTTCAGAGCCATGAGCTATATTGTACTTTTATTAATAAATACTACAGAAGATATCAACTCAACTGACTGAATCTTTGGGAACTATTAACGTTAGTTATTCATTGGCATACTTTCATGTTTAAAATCTGTATGCAGGCTGGAAAAGACGTGGTTGCTTGCTTGAATGAAGCTATAAATAGGAAAGGAGTAAATATGAGAGTGTCTGCTCTGGTATATATACATGTTCTTGTTATTTTTTTTGTCAATGAAAATTGTTCTAGATCAATATAGAATCAGTTTCTAATTGATTTAGGCTTAGTAGGTGAATGATACGGTTGGAACTTTGGCTGGAGCTAGATACTGAGATGATGATGTCATGGTTGCTGTCATTTTGGGTACAGGAACAAATGCTTGCTATGTAGAACGGATGGATGCTATTCCTAAATTGCAAGGCGAGTTTTCTCCTTCTGGAAATACGGTGAGTAAGAGTCTCCTATTTTCTCTATGTTCGACAACCATAATTCTCATTCAACTTGCAAACCTTATATCTGGACATTTCCCTTGTACAGATTGTCAACCTTGAGTGGGGAGCATTCTCAAAAGGCCTTCCTCTAATGGTGTTTGATAAAGACATGGATGCAGCTAGTATCAATCCTGGGGAGCAGGCAAGCTCATGGTTTTATAATCATATTATTCTATGTTAACTCCTGGCAGTCAAGTACTGGCTGTATGCATATCAACTGTTGTTCATATGTTGTTGAAGATATTTGAGAAGACAATCTCTGGAATGTACCTTGGTGAAATTACACGAAGAGCCCTACTGAATATGGCCGAAGAAGGTGCTCTTTTTGGCGAATCTGTGCCCAAAAAACTATCCATGCCTTTTGTACTCAGGTAATTCTTCTTCAATAATATTAGAGCCAAGAATTGGTACTACATATTGATTACATGCTGTGGAATATCTATCAATCAAGTTGTAAATTGGCAGAGTAGTAAGTAAAATTTGCTTCATAAGGTTATTATCTTTTGAAGTCACCGAGTTATGCGTCCATGTGCTTTCTTCACTAATTTAAAAGTGGATTCAGTTTTTGTTCCTATTAAAAATTGTAGCGGTAAGTAAACTAGTTTCCAGCTAAAACCTTGAAGTGGGAGCATTTTCTGAAAGCCAAAGTTACCAAAAGACCTAATAGACAATGGTTTTCGCCTTATTAACATACATAGTCAACTGATATTTCTTCAAATTGACTCTCTGCAGAAATCCTCACTTTTCACTTAAAAGATCCTATCGCTGAATTATATCTTGAATTGTGATCTGTAGAACCCAAGATTTGTCTGCAATGCGGCAGGACAACACATGCTATCTGCAGACTGTTGGATCAATCCTATATGATGTAGTCGGGGTAAATTTCTCGTGATTGCTCTAACCTTTTGAACTTCAGTTTCAATGTCTCTGCATATAAATTTCATATATGAAATTATAGATGAAGGCATGAAGCCTTTTCTCCATGCTTAAACTTCCAATCTTGCAATCAGGTTGAGTCCAACCTAAATTCGAGGAAGATAGTCCTAGACGTTTGCGACACCATTGTGAAGCGAACTGGACGTTTAGCTGGTGCTGGAATAGTGGGAATTCTCCAAAAGATAGAGTAGGATTCCAAAGGTGCCATCTTCGGAAAACGAACGTAGTGGCAATGGATGGGGACATGTATGAGCGCTACCCCCAGTACAGAAGATACTTAAAAGAGGCCGTCGCAGAGCTTCTTGGACCTGAAACATCCCATAACATTGTCATAGAGCATTCAAAGGATGGCTCTGGGATTGGGGCAGCTCTCTTGGCTGCTACAAACTCCAAGTATTACAACAACTATTAGGCAGGTCAACCTTATCGCATCCACAAGGGAAAACTATTGCCATGTGTAATGTAATTGTAGTAAGCATCTGTTTAAGAATAACAGAAGCTTGAAGAACATGGTAAAGTTCAGAAATTCAATCCAGATTTGTAGAGCCAATAACTATGAAATCAATGACATCTTTCTTGTAATTGTATCACCATCATAGTTATGGTTCAATTTTTTGTCAAACTTTAGTATTAAAAAAATAATTCTTGTTTTTTTGTATGTGCTATTATACATATAACTTTTTTTGGCACAAATTTGTGATATATAAATGATAAATCATACTACTAGTGACTTTATGTGTATGAATTTTTTTTTACAAAAAAAAAAAATTTAACTTGAGAAAAACCAATAAAAAAAATTGCAGATGCTGACTTGAACTGTTGACATGTTGAATGTTAACATGAGTATATGAATTAATTAAATTTCATGTTTGACGTACATATATATATATATATATATATAAATTATTTTATTAACTAAATAATGAAAATAAAACTTATAATTTTGTAGTAAAAGGTACCCTCAAAATTGTAACTTGAAAGTAAAACATATCAACGGTTACGAACGCCGTTAAACAATGAAGAATACGGGTCTATCCGTCTGCGTGATTACACCATAAGGTTCCTTTCCATCTTGTAAAAATTTCAAACCTGTCGAGTTCGACCAACTGCGAAACGAGATATAAAACATTTTCGTACCATGTTCGTGCCCTAGATTTCCACCCTTTGCCTATTAACTCCTGCAATTCCTTGGTTCCGACAATGGTACCAACTTCATCTGGTTAAATTTTAACTCTTTTTCTCCCTTCCCCGAAGTGTACAAAATGTTGATCTCTTTGTTGTGTTGTTTTTTAATCATGGCAGATCCGATTCATTTTGTTGCAAAACAGGCAAGGCAAGACTCGTCTAGCCAAATACTATGTTCCTCTCGAGGATTCCGAGAAGCACAAGGTTGAATACGAGGTATTACATTTTCCCTTTTTATTGATTATTCGAAAATGTTGACTTTTTTCTTTCTATAATTTTGGAATTTGGGGGAATTTCTTAGCTAGGGTTCTTGAATATTTTGATTGTACGTTTACAGGTTCATCGATTGGTGGTTAACAGAGATCCAAAATTTACTAACTTCGTTGAGGTTAGTGAAATTTCCGATTCTCGTTTTAAATCTGTTAACTTTTTTTATTTGGTTGCTTAGGAAAAATTGTAGAAAGAGTAAGAAAAGTTTTTGCTTTAATTTTTTTTTATTGATTATGGCTTTAGAGAAGAACCGCAAAAGAAATTAACAAGAAAATTGAAGAAATATAAAAGCAGGGGCAAAGATCTAGACTTTAGGTATGCAATTACTGAATGTTTGATTGATTGTATGCATATTTTTTTGTAGTTTCGTACGCACAAGGTAATCTACAGGCGGTATGCCGGATTATTTTTCTCATTGTGCGTTGACATAACGGATAATGAGTTGGCATATTTGGAGTGCATCCATTTATTTGTGGAGATATTGGACCATTTTTTCAGCAATGTTTGTGAGCTAGACTTGGTTTTTAATTTTCACAAGGTATGTAACTACTCTAATAGTTGTCTTTAACTTTTGCATGAACATTACTTGCTGGATTGTAATTTTCTACCTGATTCATTTTAAGCTGCCAGTTTCAATAACCTAAAAGACATCGTCTCTTTCATTTTGCTTCATTTCCAATTGACTTTGTGAAAGGGGTCTTTGATCAGGTCTCAACACTTCTTGAATTGCCTTTTCAACTTACATTTTGCAATCTTTATCTTCTGCATGTGAAAGCTAGTTTTGCTGTCTTGCCTGCTTTGATATGTTCATTTGTTAGGATAATCATACTTTGACTTGATCATTGAGAAGTAACCAGTAGCCTTACTGATTGTTGATATGAATTTGAGTATATGTTCTACCTGTCAGTGTTAACACATGCATTATTGCTGATTGTTGTATTACTCTGCAATACACTTTACCATTTTCCTTGGAAATTCTTGAAGGTTTATCTGATACTTGATGAATTCATTCTTGCTGGAGAGCTTCAAGAAACAAGCAAAAAGGTATGCATTTTTCTGGAGACGTTTAACTGCTATTTCATGTTGATGGTTGTATGGTTAATTTTATCACCATTGCAGCTTTTCTCCTCCTTCCTCTTTCATCTTTTTACCTCACCTCCTTTTGTTTTTCATCTGCTTCTCTGTCATCATCATCATTACCCTTCGAATTGTTAGTTGTAGCAGTGGTACTGACATTATATTTCTTCTTTTGGAGTAATCTAAGCTCAGATTTGTGGTCTTCTATTTTTCATAGTTGTTTTGCATGTCTTTACCAAAATGCTCTTAGGCATGTACTCTTTGAAAATTATTGCAATAAGATCTCTTTTAAGCAAAATGTTCCTTTTTCCTGTTATAAAGAGGCAATGACAATGTTTGATGGCTTTGAAACTAGCACTGAGGTTAAGTCTTATTGCATCTGGCAGGCTATCATAGAGAGAATGGGGGAGCTGGAGAAGCTAGAGTAAAGATGATTCTTCATGAAAGAGGGACTGTGCTATTTGTGTCAAATTTTCTCAATTGTTGCTTTTTTTTTTTTGGTGTTTTTATAATTTGCAACCTCTTTTGCGCAGCCAATTCTTCCTTGTATTATTCGAAAACTGAAACACGTAGTATCTCGTTACTCATTTTCTCTTGTAGCCGTTTGTGCAATGTTTAATGGAAGCGTGGAGAAGATACCGAAGTTAAAAATGGAGGAGCTTCTATTGTTTTCTATTTTTGGTACATGATTGATATACGTATCCGAGTAAGATACGTTACCTTGCAAGTTTGTGTCAAATTTTGTTTGACGAAATTGATTTGCATGCTATTTCAGCATTCTACGTGTACAAAACAATCAGCAGAGAGTCGTGTATGATGGATAGGGTTCTGCATTTGAATAGTGATGGAATATTATACCTCAAAGTTAGAACATAATTTTCGGATGCAACTCTTTCATTCAATACCCTTTATACCCCAATTATCATCCTCCAGTTTTATGATAAAGATTTCAGAAACGGGACTAAGTCGAAAAACAAAGGGTAAACCCTTTTTCTATCTTTCACTGTAACCGGGTGACAATGGAACAATGGGCATTAAAATACCATCTTAAAAAGCGGGACTCTACAAGAGTCTTTTGCTTATTATCTTGTGAGGCGGAGAGTCTCAAGATTTCCTTCAAACATCTGATTAGCAGCAAGCTCTCTCATTACTTCACGCCCTGTTTGATGAGTACCAGGTCTCACGTGCAGTTGAAAGAATCAAATAATGTTACTGTGTGCATCATAAGTGGACGGAACCTTTTACTTCAAAATTCAGAGGCGCTCATTGCAGAGTAACTGCAATGGCAATGGCCCACCAGCGCAAAATCCGCCGCTGCTTTCTTCATAAATAGATGGAAGATGGTGGTCCGGCCTTTTCACTCTGGCAGGGGGAAATGATGAAGAAATGGCAATTTTCGGCTGCTGATGTTGTGGGACCGTGTTGTACTTGGGCCCAACAGCATCTGGTGTTGAATGGGGAGGGAAGGCAGTTTGAGGGCAGCAACGTACAAGTGTCCGACTTTCCATTTTGCCAACTTGGAAATTGGGTCAAGACCGCTGAAGTTCCACCAGGCCTGTACTGAGCTGTTAAGTAAGCTGCCCAAAGTCGTTTCTGTTGCTGTTGCTGCTGTAGTTTTTCAACACCAGAATAACTTGTGCAAGGAGGACCACAGAAAGGGTTAATAGGATATTGAGGTAGCTGCAGTTGTACCTACAGTGAAGTATCAGAACATGAAGTAAAAACTGTCACGACAAGAAATGACCAGACAAGCAGAAAAATATATTAAAGTAGCCTAAACAGCAACGAGAGGATTTAACTGGGTGCTCGTTGAATAATCCATATCAGTGGTCCCATTGGCCGGTACTGGCACCTTAAAATGCAACAATTTCAATTGATGTGCTCACTTATTGGATGCAATTATTGGTATAGTGATGCAACAAACTATGATTTCATCCAATAAGGGGGCTGCAATGCTATTCAGTATAAATCAATCTCCAAATATAAACCTATATTTGCAAGACAAGGAAATAAACAGAAAAGAATAAAGAATAAAACCTGCTGTGCAGCCCTTGCTGTTGAAACCTGCTCTGTGTAAGAAGAGGAAGTATAATGAGTTGGAGGTATTGAGAAAGGCACGAGTGACTGATGTTGTGGAAGTGAATGAAGGTAAGGAACTTGGAGTTGTGGCAATGATTTAATTGTATTTCCAATTTTATTAGAGCTATTACTAGCTTCCGTACCAATTCCTCCGACTGACAAAGACAAGAAATCAAAACTCTGCCAGGAAACAGTGAGTGATCAGGATAATGAGAAAGAAACATCCACTAGCAATCCCAAAAGTTGACCTTACCTGCCTCTCTGAAGTTTGCATCCCAGATGCTGAAGCAACCTGTGGCTGTTCCTGATGGAGTATTGTGTGCTGTAGAATATCACTTCTGGCTTCATAAGAATTTATATCAGGAGCAGAATTTCCAGAACTGCTACTAGGTATAGTGCCATTGATACCATTTCTCAAATTACTGCAATTTTTAGGATACAAAACAGCTGTTTGCTTTAATCCTACATGGGGTTTCAACTGAAGGGACTGTTGAAGAATGTTGTCTTTGCTGTCTTGCATTTGTAAATTACGAATGAGAGAACTGATGTAAACATGAGCGGCGCACCTCTTCATTGACTTCCTATCCATGGTGACTTTCCAAACCTATACATCTCATCATTCACCATACACATGATTAGATGCTTGAAATGGCAACAAACATTCATGAATGTAGAGATAACGGGCATCTGAACATGTATACCCTTTCAGTTGAAGAACCACTTTCTAGTGAACATGTCCTGGGGCCATACATTAAGGCATCCAACCAAGCTGGAATTTTAGTAGCTGACGATCTGATATATAGTAAAAGGTAAGAGGGATGCCATAAAGATGGTCATAAAAAAAGATAGATGCAACGACAAAAGAGAATTACCGTGAAGAACTAGGGCTCCGAACACCTAGGGGCACAGTAGAAGACAAGCCTGGCCACAATGCAAGGCCTACCAAACCAAAATTATGTCGTGCGAAGGATATTAGTACGCAAATAGCAAAAAAAAATCAAGCTAAATATAGCAATGAAGGCTCCGAAGTAAGCTGGTATTTACCATTTTTTCTGGGCTCCTTGAATATTCGTTGCTGTGCGTTTTGGCTTTCAATAGGAGAAACCTACAAATAACCCAAGCAACCATATGAGTTTGAGCATTGAACAATGAAAGCAATATTTGATTTTCACTTAGATGTCAAGCTTATACCCCAAAAGCCATCTCTGGCTTTCTCTCATAAAGATTGGTTATCTTTTGCTTGGTCTGCTCCAATCTGCAGAAGCATAAAAATTAAAGGGGGAAAAAAGACCACACTAGAAAGGAAGAGGGAGCGTAAGTTAAAGAAAAGTATTCACCCAGTTTCTAAGCTTTGTTCAGAGAGGACATGAAAGTTGCCAGGAATGCAAGATGATTTATCAGCATCAGGTTCACTCTTAGTCAAGGAAGGGATGGTAGTATTCAGCCTCATTTGAGAAATTGAACTATCTAGTTCCATATGGGGCTTTTTGCATTCTGGCAACTCAAGCTGATCTTGAGTAGTAGGAGGTTCATTCAAAGAATTGAGTTTAGCAGCTTCATTGGATGTCTCATGCATAGTGGATGAAGGAACAGTCTCAGCAGCTTGTGGACAAAAAACTGAGTTTGCATCTTCATTTTTAACTGCAGAATAGAATAACTTACACAACAGAAAACAACAAACTAAAACTCCTCCAACTTGTTATAAGTAGATGAAAACCTTCAATTGCTGTGACAGCACTCTCCACTGTCTCTGGAGGATCTGAAGATTTTACTTCTATTGGCTCACCACTCAATTTATTCTTATCCATCGAGTTACTGTCAAGGAACATTCCTGCCAAAGCATACAGGGTCTCCACAACCTCTTCCTCATCTTTTGTGATTGGCCCAGAAACAGTTGCCTTCCCGGACCAGTCTAACTCTCCTTGTTTCTACAATAAAGCAATTTCAACAACATAAACAACAAATGCTAAACTCAGAAAGAACGATTATTGAACTTAACACTCTAGAAATTAATCACCATAGACCAACCGAATTCAGTTTGGGTTTCTTTACACCATCCTTTTTATGCGATTGGACTCCACCAAGTGTATGGTTCAATTTCTTTGAATCTGGTAAAGGCAGGCAGATAGATTCGCGACCACGCTTCTTCATGGCTGTGAATATAATTCCAAATATCCAAAAATTAATCCCATAAAACATTTTTTTTCTTTACGTCAAAAAAAGGCTTCAAGTTTAAAATTCACCAAAACAGCTCCAGTATCTCCTTGAAAAAGTAAGCTTCAGTATGTAGAAAGAGGCAAAAACTCAACATAGTAGAATTACTTGAAAAGAACCAATACACCACAAAAGTCACAGCACCAATAATATCAAATGGAATTAAGAAAAGAGACAGCACAAAGAATCTTTCGTCCTTGAAAAGAAAAGAAAAAGCAAAAAAGCCTTGGTTTCGCTTCAGTTCTAAACTTCTAATCCAAAAGCAAAAACAAAATTTGAGAAACTTCCCAGCAACTCCCCCATCAAACGCAACCTTAATTTTAAAATGCCAAGGCAAGTTGATTAACCCTGAAAAAACAAAAACAAACAAAAAACCAGAAACAGATATAACATACAAAATATAATATATATATATATATATACCTTTTTCTTTTTCAGAATAATTATAGACATTAAAAAAAAAAAAACCCCTTCCTACATCTCATTCAAAAGTTACACACCTGACCGTAGCTTCCGTGGGACAGAGGCATGATCAACGACATTGCAGTCATGAAAAAACTGCAGAGAAAAATAAATAAAATTTAAAGCTTTAAAATTTAAGAAACATTCTCATTTTAGTAAAGGGTGTTAAAAAAAAAAAAGCAGAAGGGTTACCTTTTTGAGAATCTTAAATCTCTTGGTGGTAGAATTAGTGATGAGAGAAGAAGAGTGTTTTGAACGTGAAGGACACTGATTTTCTCTATTATCAGAAGACAAATCACAGCAACAACTCCCCATTTCAGTTTCACAGTGTTGGTTGCTAATGCTGTTGGGACAGGGACTGGGGCTTCCTCTATTACCATTAACGCTATGTAGTCTTCTTATTTTCTCTTTCTTCGCTTTCTCTAAACAAACAAAGCCCCCACCATCACCACCATCAAAACCTTCAAAATCAATGGACAAACAAAGCCATTTTATCTGTTACTAAACTCTTCTTACCAACAAAAAAACAAAGAACATGGGATGCCAAAGAAAACGATAAGGGAAGGAGATGGAGGGGGGTTAGAAGTAAATTTACCGAACAAAAGGTTGGTTCGAGATTGTTGTCGCGAGAGCCTACTCGTTCCACGCCTCACGTCTCGACTCTTGTCCATTTCTGTTGATATCAAATTCATGATAACATAACTAACATTTAGCTACAGCTTGGCAGCTCATTTGTGGAATACGGCTTTCACGGTCCTAAGAAAAAAAAAAAAAAAAACCCATAATCCATATTCACTTTCAACAAACACCTCATAAAAATGCTTCAAACCAGATCTTTCTTCTTGTTCAATTTCAAAGCTTCTTCAATTACATGAACGAAAACAAGAAACAAAAAGGTCAGAGAAAGCTTCCTTTTAATGCATCTCTCCGCTTCTCTCTCTCTCTCTTTCTCTGTTTTTGTGAGTTTAGCAAAGAGCTTAAAAGGATCTCTTCTCAGCTGAGAAAGCAGAGGAAAAATAAAAAAGAAGAGACATTTTGTTTGACAGAGAAGAGAGCAGAAACAAAAGGAAAATAAAGTTGAGCCTTGAGAGTTTTTTTTTCAAATAAAAATGGAAGAAAAAAAGGTAAAAGTAATTCGCTTCTCGTGTCAGAGAATCAGGTTCTTCGTGAAATAAAGCACTGAGAGAGAAAAAGAGAGAAAAATTGCACACATAAGAGAAGTAAAATATCACGAGAAAAGCAAAGCTCTGTTTCACCTCAAAAAAAATCCTTAGAAATACGCTTTAAAACGAACTTGAATTACAGATTAAAACTCATTAACGCAACGAATCTCCTTTCTCAACCAAACAATAGATAAAAACAAATCTTCGTCACACTTTTGACTGTCCCTTTATCGTCTTTCACTTCCTTTGATTTTTAGATCAAAACCACAACCACACCATTGAATGGTAAACCGAGCATTCAAAAAATGAAGGAAAGGAAATCTCAGCAGAAAACTTGAAAAAACAAGAAGGAAATGAATATGGCCAGCTAGTTTGCAGCTCTTTCTCTCCCATTCTTTTTTCTCACGAACTCCCAAAAGACGGAAAATCCGAAGCTCTCTCGCTCTGTTAAATGCGTCATCTATGAAAAACGGCTTTTCATTTATTTATATTTATACTCCAACTCCAAGTCCCATCTCACGTCGCCTGTTAATTTCTGCCTCTCCATAGCCGTCCGATCTTCGCCTTTGCCAACAGGCAATCTTGTCCGACTGTAAGCCACGTTGGACGTCTCTGCCTCGTACACGTTGCATTCCCACCTGATGGTAAAATCCACGGTTGTTTGTTATCGGTGTCAACCTCGGCCACTTTTCGCCCTTCGATGGCTTTTATTATTCTCTCACTTAATTGAGTCAAACTAATATAATATTAAATTTAAGCTTTAATTTAATTTAAAATTTAAGATTTCATATTTAATTTAAATTTGATTGAATTTTATTTGATTAATTTAAATTTAATTTAAAATAAAAATTAAATTATTTAAGTTTATTCCATTAAATTTAATTAATATATAAAAATAAATTTAATTTTTATATTAAATAAAATTTAATTATTTATACTTAAATTTAAATTCGATATATTTTATTAATTAAAATAATAAAAATATATTTAAATATAAAAATTGATTAAATTAATAAATTATTTAAATCAAATATAAAAATATTTTAATTTGATTTGATTGATAAATTAAATTATTTAAACTTAAATTTAATTTAATTATCAAATTAAATCTAAATAATTTATTATTAATATATAATTTATATCCTTATTTACGGCCCGCAGGCAGATTAAAGTGTTCAGTGCTTTTTTATAAATGAAGTAACTAAAACTCGAGATGCGCTTTATCCGACGGCCGTAATTGCAGCTCTCGTTTGATGCCTCCACGTGGTATTTGAGATTGTGTGAATATATAGCAAAAAAAAAACTATGTTTGTCTTAATGCTAAAAGTAAAGATTTTTGTTCTTAATTACAACATTTAAGGTCTACTCTTAATTGGGCTGGACCATTGTTGAAGGTGATAGGACCATCCATAGTCCAAATTGAAGTGGGCTAAAAATTTGTGGTCCCAACCACAAAATTATCAACATTTTGATCATGCTCACTTTGGTAAATTTTAATGAGAAACTAAATACTATATTTGAGCTAATTAAGCTAAATAGATATGATAATTAAATCATGATGTTATAAGAGGATATTAATATAATATGAAAATAAGATATCAAAATAACGTAATTTAAAATTTTAGTAATATTATATATAAATTTAATAAAAATAAAAAATATATATTTTATATTTTTATATCAATACGAATTATAATACGTAATTTTTATGTAAAATATAATATGAATATATAAATTTTAATATTTTACATGAAATAATTATACTAATCATCAAGTTTAGAGTGAAGATTTGTGTTTAAATCATTAAGGTTTAATATTTTGAAAATAGATATCAAAATAAGAATACTACTAATTTCAAAATAAAGTTTGAGATGATGTTGAGTTTGAGCCTAAACAATTCAAAGCTCTCTACTAATTGCGCTGTCGATTAAACAAGCTTGTCTTAAATTTGTTCCACAAGGCTTAGTATTTTCTTCCTTAGGTTTTTAGGCAGTGGTAATTGTAAATATAATTGCACAAATTCACAATCTGAAACTCAAAATGTCAAAATAGGATATCCCAATAAAAAAAAGAAACCATCATATCATGTCCTGTTATTTTCAACCATCTACAAAAGTTTTGCTTGGTTGCTCACCAACTCTACCAACAGCTATGTTTTGAAATCACACAGTAAATGCCTAGTGTCCCTTTACGGCTTTGAAACCATTAAAGACATTTTACAAGTTGTGACTCTGCCCTCTCCCAAGGGTTAGAATTTCGTCCATTTAGTACTGCTAATCAAAGCTTTGTTGTTGTTCGGACAGTAATCCTCCACGATAGTCTGAAGTATATTATTACACAAAAAGAAAGATAAACCTCGCCAAGGAAAGCGGTGGGCTCCAATGCAAAGGAGCGAGAGACCAGGTGGAGGCTTGGAAGAGTTTCAATTAAAGATATAAATAAAATATTAGTATTCGTAAATTATTTAAAATTAATTAAAATAAAATTTAAATTTGATTTTATTATTATTAAATCAAATTTAAATTTAAATAATTTAATTTATTAATCGAATTAAATTTAAATATTTTTATATTTAATTCAAATAGTTTACGAGTCTAATCAAATTTTTATATTTAAATATATTTTTATTATTTTAATTAATAAAATATTTTGAACTTAATTTTGAACTCGAACACAAATAATTAAATTTTTATCGAATATAAAAATTGAATTTATTTTTATATATTAATCGAATCTAATCGAATGAATTTAAATAGCTAAATTTTTATCTCGAATCAAACTCGAATTAAAAAAATAACATTCGATCGAATTCGATACGAATTTTGAATTTTAAATTTTAAATTAAATTCAAATTCAAATTTAATATTATATCAATTTAAATTCAATCAATTACACTTCTATCCTCAACTCCCACATTGTCTGTACATTATAGGTCAAGTTTTTTTTTTTTTTTTAATGATCCAGTAGAGTTAAAAGAAAATTTCTTTTAAGGCAAAATCAAAGAAAATAAGAAACATATCTGTTTTTTTTTTAATAAATCCGAGGGAATATTAACGTAAGAACTTAAAATAACAGTAATTATATTAGTATTTATTTTCATTTGCAGAATTTGAAATTACATAACTAATTTTTATTTTTATCTTGCAACTAATTTTTATTTTTATCTTGCTATATACTTATTTCTATGCAATATTCTTCAAGTTTTTTTTTTTTCTTGAATTATCTATGTACAAAGGAAAAAATGTAAAAAAAAAAAAGTGAAAATAAGAATAGACAAAGAAATCATTATCCCTAATTATTTCAAGAAAATGGCAAATTTAAATTAGATGCGGGTACAATATAGAATAAATAAGGTAACAACGGAAAAGATAATTTGAACATTAACTTCATTCCATACATTTCAAAATAACGTTGAAAGACATCCTTTTCCAAGTAGCATATGGGAATTATAAATGAACTTTGGTTATTGCAATGATGGATGTTATTTTCTTTTAGCTCAAGAATCTCATTATTTTTAAAATAAAAAAATTTGATATTTAAATTATAAATTTCTTAAATATCACATTTTAAAAGAAGAATACATAAATTAATTAAATTAAAATATGGCTCTAAAAGTAATTCTTTTTAAAATTTTTCTAATCTTTTTATCCAAATAAAATGTCTACGAATTGAAGTCAAATTATAATCGTTGAAGCCCTCTGATATGCTGGCGAAAATTCCTTTCTACTAATAAGATTGGATAAATACGAGCACAAGAAAACGAGATGAATGTTGGCACAGGGCTTTCCCGATTTAATTTTGCTTTGCTTTCGCGGATGTAACATGGCACCTTTGAAATATTTTTCGCTGATAAGTCGTAATCATACTTTTGCTTCTGCTCCCCGAAAATGCATACGCGTATATCACCTTATAGTGATAAATGTGACATAAATGTGACATCCCAGGATTTATCTCGTCAATATCTTAACTCGATACATTAATATTCATAAATTATTTAGATTTAATTAAAATAAAATAAAATTTTATATTAATTATTATTGAATCAAATTTAAGTTCGAATAATTTAATTTATTGATCAAATTAAATTTAAAAATTATTATATTTAATTCAAATAATCTATGAACATAATTAAATTTTTATATTTTAATTATTTTAATTAATAAAATATATTGAATTCAAACTCGAGTTTAAATACAAATAATTAAATTTTTATTAAATATAAAAATTAAACTTATTTTTATATGTTAATTAAGCTTAATCGAACGAATTCAAATAACTTAATTTTTATTTTGAGTCAAACTCAAACTTAAAACAACTTCACCAAATATAAATTAAATTTTGAATCTCAAATTTTAAGTCAAATTTGAGCATGAACTTAATACTATATAAACTAAAACTCAACCGATTATAATTTTAAATTCAATATTGTTTACTAATAAACTCACTTAATGGCCGTGTCTATGTAGCCCAAGAGCTCTTACGAAACAGACCCAATCATGGTTGAATTTGGGCCATCATACCATTGCCGAGCTAGCAACCCATCCATGCTTAACACTAACAAATGTAAATCAATCGAGCAAGGGTGAGAAAAAAAATTTAAAATTATAATATTTGATTTAGTTTAGATTTTTTTTATTTAATTTAAATTTAAATTTAATATTAAATATATATATTAAATTTAGATTAAAATATAAAAAATAAAAAAAATTAAATCGAATTAAATTATATATTTTTATTAATTTATATATTTTAAATTTTTATAAAATAAAATAATTATTTTATATATAAATTAATTTAAGTATATTAAAATTTTTAATAAAATAATATAAATTTAAAAAATAAAATTTAAAACCCATAAATTATATTAAACCTGTAAAATTTAATTCAAAGCGAATCAATTTAAAAAAAAATTTCATTCAAATTCATATCAAATTTTAAAATTTTAAAATATTATATATTATCCAAAAAAATCAAATTAAATCCTATCTAATATAAACTATTATCGTCCCCACAATTGAGTTTATCTTCTTCCAATTTCTCTTTTGTTTTCGCCGTCTTTTAGTTTTCTTTAATAATAAAAATCAAATTTTCAAATGACGACATCGAGTTTAAAAGCAAGGGAGGGGTGCCATATATAGTTTTATGGAGAATTTCACAACCCTGCTGATCATAAAAAGAAAAAAAGAAATAAGGTACATACACGTGGCGGTAAAAAGAAGCCCAATTCTGAACATTAAAAACCCAAATGAGCCCAAAATGCGAATAGGTGTACGTACGCCAATGGTGCAAGTTAGTATTATCCCATCTATCTATTTCGCTATATATACGCTAAAACTCGACCGTTGAAGCCCCCATTTCGAATTGCGAGTTTACAACGATTCTAGTTTCAATATTCGCTCTTACACTGAAAAAGAACAGAGAAACCTAAAAAATTCCCCTCCTTCTTCTTCTCCTTTAATTGTTCTATTAAAGATTCCATAATGGGCGCGAAAACGCGATCGCAAGTCTCATCAGAGCGTCAAAAGTGGGATAAAATATTTGAGGGTTTAGTTAAGATGCTTAAAACCCTGCAACAACAGCTTGAAACTTTGGTTAAAGAGAGAAAGATTCTCGAAGATCGGATCAATATGCAATATGAACGGTGGGTCTCTGACGTTCGCCTCTATGAAGATCACATCTCTCAGGTAACAAGTTTCGAATTTAGGGTTTTTGTTGTTTTCGTTCCCCTTAATTAATTGGAGTGGTAATATTGGGTTTTTGGTTGTCTTTTGATGTTTAGATGACGCGTGATTTGGAATTGAAAGAGATGGCGCGTGTGCTTGAGGCTGCAAAAGCCGATATGATGGTTGGATTGAAGCACAGAGAGGCTTATCTTTGCAAATTGAAATTAGGTATGTGTTCTTAATTTTTTTTTTCTTTGGCCAGTTGTTAGTTTGGTTTAATTCACTACAGGAAAACTGATTTGGGATCAAGTGATTACTATGAATTGTTTTATGATTAGTTAAATTCTTGTTTTAGGAGTACACTGATCAGAAACTGATACTTTTTTTTTTATATAATTTAATAATGGTCTGATGTGTGTATTTGCTTAATTGGCTTATTACAGAGGCAACGGAGGATGAATTGACTGATTTCAGAATCTGGTTTGACATCCTCAGTAAAAATTCAAAAGTATGTTCGAATGACTCTTCTCCTTTTCATAGTTTTATTCATTGTATAATTTCTAAGCTTTTAATCATTTCATTATTTGCTGGATATTTCTCAAAAGGACCCCAAAGAAACTAAAAATGGAATGTCAGGACGGAAGGATAGTGGTTCAAAGTCTGTTATTTTGAGGACATCGGAAGCTGATTTAAGAAGGCTAAAGCTTGAATATGAAAATCTTGCTTTGGAAAAGAATTCTCAAGTTGCTACACTTGTGGCAGAGAATAAGTTTGCATGGAATCAGTTCAACATTTTGGAAAGTCAGTATACGGAAAAATTAAAGAGCAAGAATTCTGAACTCGAAAAAGCTAACACGAAAATTGAGGCACTTATTTCCAATATGGAAGAGCTGAGGTCATCTAATACTGAAAAGGATGAAATAATTGAGAGATTAAAATCTGAAGTGTCTCAGAAGGAGGCTGATGCGAGTAGATTCCATGAAGAAGTTTCTAAAATTTCTAGGGAGGTAGAATTATTAAGGAAGTACGGAAGTTCTTCTTGTACACATGTAATAAAACGTTGTGCAGCAGGCAGAAGAACTTCTATTCTGGGAGGTAAGAATGGTGGTAGCGAAGGATGCAACGTTATTGTGCAGAAAGAAAACTCTGCTCCTCATGTTCCTGATCTTCTGAAGGACAATGGAAAGGTACTTTTTAATCAATCTCCCTTAAACATGGATTTATATGATTTTGACATGAATTCTTTCAGTTCATGATAATAATTGGCATGGTTTAAGAGCTTTTTTTTGCACTTTGTTGTTTCTGCCTTTCTGGTGTGAAGAGTTATTCATTTGTTTTGAGTAGCCATCCTTTGAGCAAAGAAAAGCATTTTGTCCCTTTTTCATGTAATATAGACAGCTAATGTTATGATTGCAAAGTATCGCTATTCAACATTCTTCATTTGTGGCCTCAAGGACCTTAGAATTCCCCTAAATAATTGGGGTCATAGGAAATTGTTATAATAAGGCCATAAGTAATGACCACTGAGAAAGTTACTGTTCTTGATTTCATTTGCTAATGTAATCAGCACCTCTCCCCCCCGCCCCTTCCCTCCCCAATAAAAACAAGAAAGCTATAGCTTTGCTAATATGTTAGCTTATTGTCTGAACTTACTCTGTTATGATTTGTCATAGCATATGTGAATTCTTCCGTTTGTTCTTTTGTAAAAGATCCATTCTCTAACCAAATTTTTAACTTCTTATTGTTGTTTAGGAAAGCAGAAGCTCGAAGAGAAAAAAGGATGATCAAGAACCCATTTCTGAAACTCCAAAATTGTTCACGTCTACTTTTAAAGTTCCCAGATTGAAAGCCTCCTCTCCCATGACAAGATGACCTATACCATCTTCTTGGCTTCTGATTTTACTCTTCCCTGTATTTTTTGTTTATTCAGCTACGATCTTGGCAATTAGTTCTCATTTTATTTTGCTTCCATGTATATTAATTCCATACCCTGAAGCAAGTACTTCTGTATTTTTTACCAATTATGATTTGTAAAAGGCTAATTATGAATGAATTAGTGTTTGTGGTTGTCGTATCTGTCTGTATATCTTTTTAAAAAGAGTGGTGGATGCTATAATGCTGGTAAAGAAGATAGAGTGCATAAATTCTAAAGGCCAAATTCATGGGCTGATAAATGACGCAGACTCTACATCTTTAAGTAAGAACAAAGTGTTGAATTTCCTCATCTAATAATGAGGAAACAGGTCAGTGCATCAAAGGAAAGTGCAGAATTTGCGATTGAAAGAGCCTTGCAATTGAAAAGTGATTTAGGAAGTTATCAGACCTCATATTTTTGCTTTCCAATTCAATGTCTTATCTGAATCCTCAGATGATTAGAGAGGTGATTAGAGTGATACGAGTCCTCTCCAACTCATATTGGAAGTGTAATACTGCGGTATGCTGCTACATTGATGATGATGATGAATAATTTTGCTTCTCTTATTTGGTAATTTTAAACAGTGTTCTGTCTCTTTATGCCCATTCCATTAAATCAACGCATTTGTATGGTACCAATTGACTTGATTTAACTCATTTTACCCAAAAAAAATCCTTCTGTTTAACCGATTTGATTCATCTTGGAATAAATATTTTGTCTATTATCATCTTGTGGAATGTGTTTATGAAGAAACTTGCATTCCTAATTGCAGGATAACGGAATCTGGTTTGCTCCCCCATAAAGGAAGCAAAGAAAGTCTTTGAGAAGAAACAAAAGGAGATCCAGCAGCAAAAGTTGAGTTCCCCAATGAAAGCTGCTGTTTCAGCTGTAAAGAGTAGCGCAAAATCTGTTACTGTTAAGAAGACTCCTACAATCTCCCTATTTCCTCAAATAAAAGGAGGACAGATTCCAAGGTTGCCCCAAAAGCAGACCAAGAAATGCAAGGCTGAAGAAAGCTCGGACGACAACTCTGAGAATGTTTTGGCTAGCAGAATGAAGAAACAGAGCAAATTAGTATATGTTTTTTGCCACAACTGATTATTTCTAGTTTGCCCTGTTTAGGTACTTAAACTCATATGATCTTTATTGATTAGTTGTGCCAATACTAATTCGATACTGTGATTGAACTGATCTTAATGATCATTACATTGTTTAGTAAACATTCCATGGAAGACTGGAAGTGTTCAAAATCTCCCTTTTTGTTTGTTATTATGAGTTAAATTATTTCTGGCATATGCAAAATTACCTACCCTTGCCAAAAAAAGAAGCAGCAAAACTACCCATGAATGACACTCGGCTGCAATCGATGTTGTCAGAGGGCCGAGCAACCAGTATTCGTTAAGAACTAGAAAAACCGCATTGTGGCACTGACGGCAAAACCATTGTCGCCTATCCTTTTTCTTCATCCTCAATAACTGACTACAAACTCTTTTTTCAAAGAAAAACAAGCATTAAAAAAACCAAAAAAAGCATTAAAAAATAGCAGGTTTTTGACGACGATGCCAATTTTAAGAGAAAGAAGTCGGAGAATGAGGCCCACCGGCCATTAACGAAATCCCTTCTCCTCCTTCTCGTCGTCGCCAACAGCTTATAGTGTTGCTTCTCCTCCTCCTTGTCATCCTAATTCAATGCAAATTGTTAGACTGTAAATAATTGGCCCGCAAGAGACCCCAACACGGTGAGCGTTTAAGAAACACGCTCCTTAACAGAGCGTGGACTAGTTTCCAAAGTCAGGCACACCTTGGGTAACTATAACATAGAAAACACAAACTCAAGAACATTATGGTCGCTCTAAACTTTCGAGTCTCTTGTATGAAAACTCAAGCGAAAAAGACGATAAACCCTACACCAACCTCAAGCCTGCCTTGCATGACACGTGTCACCACACACACCCTCGCCATGGATTATTTTTTTAGTTTTTTTTTTCCTTTATAAGCTGAAACTCCGTCTGCAAGCGACTCAATCTTTGCATCTCTCTCTGTTTCAATTCTTCAACTCCTTTTCTTCAATGGAGGAAATTTAGAGATTTGAATAATAGAGCTTTCTTTTTTTTTTTATTTCTTCTTTCTTCTTTAATTATCAGAGAAAGAGAGATTCTGGGTAACAATGGAACAGAGCTGTGACAGCCGTGTCACTGGCGATGAGATTGAGGTTGCCAATATCTTGTTGGAGCTGCCCCATCTAATCTTCGAATCTGAGTCACACCCTCGATTTTCTTTCACTTGGGGCGCCAAGAGGAAGAGATCTACTGCCACATCTTCGCCTGCTCTGAAATTATCACCATCACCAGCGCCGTCACTTCCCTCTAACATCATTGGCTCTAGCAGTGAGACCGAGGCACCCATGGAGAAGGTCCTGACTTCAAGTCCCGCTTCCCCTCTTTCCTTTGCTCCAAGTGAATCTGATGAGAAGCCTCTGCCTTCCAAGAAAAAAGCCTCTGTTAATAGTCTAAAAAATGTTGTTTTTTTGGTCATCATTTGTCAATAAGTTTCTTGCTTTTGCGTTGTTGACTCTCATTACATGTGTGCTCCGTTTACTGATTCATGTCGTTCTGGGGTTTCCATAACAATTAAACAGAAGAAAGAACAATTGTTAGAGATGATGAAGGACTTTACTCGGCACAATGAATTAATGAAAAAGGTGATTTTTTTTTCTTTTTTTTTTAGATTAGTTACTTTTTCGTTTTCTTGGATATTACCACAATATCTTCATCTTTTACTCAGTCTTTCATTCAATTATTTACTATATGATTTTTTTAAGCAGAAGCATGTGATATTAATCTTTGATTATGCGGAATTCAAACAGGATATAGAGAACAAGAAGCGGTTTCTTGATCAGCAGAAAGCTGAGAACATGGAGTTGAAAGCAAAGAAACAAAAGGTACTTTATTTTATTTTCTCTTTTTATTTTTTGGGTAATAATAAATTGTTTTTCTAATTTATAATATTTGTTATTTATTTCCTATTTTTGTAATTTTAAACAGTTAACCAAGAGTCTTCGCATAGCAGAGGAGCCACGTTTGGAAACAAGTAAAAGCTTGAATGTTGAGATACCATTAACCCACATTTCCGTGGAGACCGAAAATAGTGCTGTTCAAGATTATCATCATCAACAGAGAATTTCTACTAGGGTGTATCAACAACCCTTCATCATGGATCAGACGGTTTACAAATCAGAAATGAACAAGGATTCTCAATACCCATTTGGTCGAACGATTTCCTGGTTACCATCAAACAATGGAGGATTAAGCAAGCTGCATGATAATGTATGCCCACTTGATCTCAACGTTTCTGCAGAGGAAGCTCTCTGCTTTAGCTCTGTAAAATCCATTGATCTGGATACAGCAACCAAGGCTAGAGCTGCACAAGGAAGGTTAAAAAGGATGCAGATTTGCCGGTCCAAGAATGACAATGCTGCGTGTAAAGCTCGTTACCTTTTTAGATGATTTTGGCTTTTCTCTTTTCTTTCATTTTTTTTCCTTTTTACCGTGGAATTAACGTAGGCAATTGACTTTGTGGTATCAAAATTGTAAATTAGAATAGTTTTACCATAGGTTTTGTCGGATTATAGTATAATATCAATGGAAGAATTTTTACTTATGGACTAATCTTTTAGCTTTGGGTATAAGGCCAAATGAACATGAAAGAATCTAAAAATCCTAAATTGGTGCAAAAAGATAAGGCGATAATGATTTTTAACATGCAGAAAGATTGAGAGGGGTTCCGAGTTCTTAATTACTAGTATCTAGGTGAGGTGAGACAGTTTCATGGGCCTTTTTTCATCCCCAACTCGTGTTTTGGGTTTTTGTTTAGCAAAACAGATGGTTGGCACTAGATGACTTGATTTCTGGGATTATAGTATTTTACGTGGAATTTAAGGAATTAAAATGATCCTTTTGTCTTTTACACTTTCCTACTTAAAAACAAGATGAAATACAGTCTGTCTTTTCAAAAAGTAATAATTTTAATGAATGCAAAAAAGTTTGGCATGGTCTGAAAATGCCAAGCCTATGCAGTATTTAGCATTTTTTAGCAATGATGACAAATGTTAATTGGTTAGATAATTTCGCTTTCCAAAAGAACAGGGAAAAGAAACAGCAGGAATCTAGCATTCCAATACCCATTCTCTCTATCCAATATTAAAAATGGAAATAAAAAAAAAAAAAAGAGATTTTGGACCTAGAGCCCAAACCTCCGGTCTTTAGCACCAAGTGGACAGCTAACAATTGGACATAACAATTTCCAGAAACAAGATCCTGCTGCTTGTTTACTTGTTCAGTTGTGCTATTCATTTTTCCTGTTCTTTTTTTTTTTTTTTCCAATTAACCCTTGTCTGGCACCGAGTCTTGGACAGGTCAGACACCGTTCTCATTCAGCCATATCTGTGGTTTAGCAGTGCTCCAACTTCTTTTTCCAAATTTTCTGTCAACTCTACCAGAATTGACTTTGGCCCACTATCTACATATGCTTTCACTGCTATCTGCTACCTGTAACTACTTAAAAGGTAAATCTACCGTGTCCATAAATGTTACCACTACTAAATAAATACAGAATTCTGTTTTCTTAATTGAACTTTTATTTTACCTTTTGAAGAATGGTATGGCTTATGGCTATGGGTACTCTCAAAATTCACTTCAGAAGATAACTTTTGCCTCATTAGTTATTCTTTTTAGTTGGTTTAAATGAGTCTGAACATGCAAAACAGTTCACACAATTTATCAACTCTAACCCTTTACCCCATGCACGATAGGGTAGTCCCCAAGTAATTTTACAGCGTAACCTTAAACTACACGAAAAATATATAGAAGCAAAAAGCACAATATACTTTTACCGAGTAGAACTGGCGAAGGAATCCTCAGGAGCCACCAACTTAGAACTGCACTTCTCTCATTGAAAAGGAGAGGAAGCTAAAAGTTGATCCATTTCTATACTCTCATAGTTATATCGTCACGGGCCCCCATTCATTGGGTGAGTAGACTTCAAATACAACCCATAAGCGAGTGGGTTGAGGAAAGGATAAAGTCTTATCCAAATGGCAAATACCAATCCACTTAAGAAGCCCAATCCGCAGAGAGGAAAGCTTGACCGTCCATTTATTTAACCCTAGTTCTGTTCCAGGGTTTAACCCTGGTCAAGTTAAGCCCTTTCCAGGTTTCCATCAACCCTAGGGAACCCTTGGTATATAAAGTTTGAGAAGCACACTGCTTACATCCTCTCCTGGCTGCAAGTTGGCTTTCCCAGACCACCACAGTCAAAGACTAATTTTTGATGCTCTCTTCTCTATCATAAATTTTTGGTTTTTTTATTATAGTTGTAAGTCTTAAAATGAAAGGGATGCAAATGATGAGGATCATTTTGGGTATGAGAAGCTCGCCAATATTTTAATGCGGGCGATGTTTGCGCCTCATACTTCCATGACTCTGATGCGTACGTCTATAGTTTTCTTTATTGCTATTATTATATTGATGAAAAATGTTAACTGGTGTGGTGCTTTGAAACACTGGTTAAGTTGATATTTGAATGTACTATTAAACCCATTTGCTTCCTTTTTATTTTTTTTTTGGTTGGGGGGGGTTACATTGCTTTTGTTGTGCACAGATTATGATAAATTACACAATATTTATTTCCTAACTGTGTCTGGAATTATGTCGTATGTCTTTCTTTCAACCGACAGCCGCTTACGACTATGAACTGTTTTTTGTTGTTCTTCCTAATTAGATTTGCTGAAGGGAAGGGTTTAGGCTAAAGCTCACCAAAATCAGAATCTAATCACTTGTTATTAATAAAAAGCGTTTTTCGTCGACCCATAATCATGAATCATGATTTGATTATTTGTTCAGAACGAAAATCTTACAACTTTATCAGAAAATTTTGATGTTCTTGATTTTTTTTTATTGAAGAATGTACGTTTCTAATTTTGTCATTTGCCCTTTTGAGGCAAAGATAGTAGTAGCTATAAATTCCATAATTAAATTCTTAAGCTAGTTTAGAGTCCGGAATACATAATTAAAATTTTCATGCTCAAGTTAGTTTAAATACATAATTAAATTTTCATATTTTTTTATCTAAATATTTTAAAGCAATCAATAATTTTTCAGTTTGAGCATGAATGAAAAGAATTATGTATAAGTTTTGCCTATTTCCAAATTGCATCCAAGTGTCCCTGATTATTAGCAGGTGTAGCAAGTAAAACTGATAATTTCTTTATTTGAATGTACGAAAAAAAACCAACATCATCATCACCTTGGAAAATACAAGAACAAAGCAGAAAAATTAAACAAACAACGATAGCCACGCTGTAGTACATAGGCAGCAAAGGTTCTCAAACTTCATTCTGTTTCACAGGTAATTGCCTACACATTTTAGGGCTCATAGTTCTCCTCGCCCTCCTCCTCGTACTCACCCTCATCCTCCACAGTCGCATCCTGGTATTGCTGATACTCTGCCACCAAGTCATTCATGTTGCTCTCTGCTTCGGTGAACTCCATCTCATCCATACCCTCTCCAGTATACCAATGCAAAAAGGCCTTGCGACGGAACATTGCTGTGAATTGCTCACTTACCCTCCTAAACATCTCCTGGATTGATGTCGAGTTCCCAACAAAAGTAGACGACAGCCTCAGACCCTTAGGTGGAATATCACAAACACTGGACTTCACATTATTGGGAATCCACTCCACGAAGTATGATGAATTCTTGTTCTGAACATTAATCATCTGTTCATCAACCTCTTTGGTGCTCATCTTGCCTCGGAACATAGCTGAGGCTGTCAGGTAGCGACCATGACGAGGGTCAGCAGCACACATCATGTTCTTGGCATCCCACATCTGCTGAGTCAGCTCCGGGACTGTGAGCGAAATGTACTGCTGGGAACCACGGGATGTGAGTGGTGCAAACCCCACCATAAAGAAGTGAAGACGTGGGAATGGGATCAGGTTCACAGCCAACTTCCGTAGATCAGAGTTCAGCTGTCCAGGGAACCTCAGGCAGCATGTTACACCACTCATGGTTGAAGAAATTAAGTGGTTCAGATCTCCAACTGCAAATTAAAAGTGTAGAGTTAGCTTCAACATTTTAAGTTGTTTCATTTTATAGCAAACAATATGAATACTTAATCACTCACAGCTCGGAGTAGTGAGCTTTAGAGTCCGGAAGCAAATATCATAAAGTGCCTCATTGTCAAGAACCATGCATTCGTCAGCATTCTCTACCAACTGGTGCACAGAGAGGGTGGCATTATAAGGCTCCACAACTGTGTCAGAGACTTTAGGTGAAGGGAAAACAGAGAATGTCATCATCATCCTGTCTGGATATTCCTCTCTGATTTTTGATATCAGGAGAGTTCCCATGCCAGAGCCTGTGCCTCCTCCAAGTGAATGACATACTTGGAAGCCTGGTCCAGAAGTAACATAAACAAGTGAGCTTCGTCAGCCGGTTCAAAAGCAAAATTACCATTATTTATTAGCCAATAAGATTTTACTATTAAATGCTAACAATTCAGCAGGACTTTTTCGAACTAACCCTTCCCTAGAAGCAAAAGAATTAATTGGATAGATAAGATTATCATGTTTTACAATATACTTAACACCAAGAATCAAACAAGGTGTAAATACATATATTAAAAAAGGAACTTAGATCAACCTGTGCCAGATCCAACCCTAACGATTTATATTTTCTGATGCATTGACCACTGACTTACTTTATGGTGAGCCACCAACAATCTATTGAAAAGGATATTAGAAACATGGAAGTACATCATTGTTCTTCATTGCACTCCTCATAACAACACCAAAGGTATCAGGCCACATATTTGGGGTTCCCTTAATGTGATTTAGTTCAATAATCCAACATCATATAATCGTCTATAACATATATAGTGCCAAAATAATTACATTACCAACAAACCAAATAAACCACAGCAATTATACCATTATAAGATAACGATGGTAGTTGTCCTTTTCAGATAGATCTGAATCCAGAAACAAGGTTTTCTCTTTCTTCCTTAATTTAATAGGTTTATACTCACTATTCTTCAAATTTTGGATAAAACAAGATCTAATACTCATGCCGATCTTACAATTTAGGATGTGATTGTATTTTTTTCGATAGATACAACACTCAACATGGTTTTGCATTGACGCATGTTAGCTATGATTCTCCTTGCTTATTTAGAGATCTTTTATTTTTCTTCAAGATTCAGATGTCAAAAGGTGGCCAAGCCATAATAATAATGTAAAGACAGCATTCATATGATGGATGAGCTGGTCAGGGCCCCAAGGCTCCAGCAAAGGCATTAAAAAGTTCACCTGAGTGCCCCCAAAGATCTAACTTTATGTTAATTTTTGCAAAGAAAATTACAGAAGTAAAAAAAAAGTCGGTTCAATAAAGGACAAAGTGACAAGCAGTTGGGATATCACAATCATAACATGAAAAGAAAAAAAAATTCACATTGAAAAATTGATCTGTTTATATAGATAATTATATAATATCACAGAAGATAGATAAAGAGCCATGCCCTCCTTTTCCTCCACAACAACAGCTCAGTGTCATTGACAAAATATTACTACTATTTGAAAAAAAAAAAAAAAAACCCAATCTCTCCATATCATTTTCACAGTGAATTATCATCAATCACATAATTCAAGATCTTATTATTCTTTACAATTTATTAGATAGGTAAAATGAGATTAGTTCTCCTTGATATGGTCATCGCCGAAAGTTGGGAAATTAAAGGATCAACGGCAAAAGCAAATTATAAATCGTTATCATGAAGGTGATATGGCAATTCAAATGGATAGAGTTTAGAGACTTTGAGGTGAAAAGAAAACTCAGTAAAGTGCCTTTAAAAATAATATGATTAGAATCAATTTCACATGCAGATTTGGCTAAATCTAAATTTCGATTACTAAGGAAATGTAAAGCAGAGGAATGATACATACCTTGCAAGCAATCACAATTCTCAGCCTCTTTACGAACAACATCAAGAACAGCATCAATCAACTCGGCTCCTTCAGTGTAATGACCTTTGGCCCAGTTGTTCCCCGCACCGGATTGTCCAAACACGAAATTATCAGGCCTAAAGATCTGGCCGTAGGGACCAGATCGGATACTATCCATAGTACCAGGTTCAAGATCCATGAGAACCGCACGAGGTACGTACCTTCCACCAGAAGCCTCGTTGTAATACACATTGATCCGCTCCAGCTGGAGATCGGACGATTCATCTCCGTTGTACCTCCCCGTAGGATCCACGCCGTGCTCGTCGCAGATCACTTCCCAAAACTTGGAGCCGATTTGGTTCCCGCATTGGCCTCCTTGAACGTGAAGGATTTCTCTCATGGTTGTGTTGATTGAAAACGAAGTGGAGAAAGCAGAGAGATTTGGGGTTTTTTTTCTCTGTTTGGGAGAGGAAAGGGAAGGAGATGAATGGATTTCTTATGGTGAAGAGGTTGAGATTTAAGAAGGAAATGCTAATAATATCAAGCGGGATGATATTTTTGAAGGATTGTCTGTCATGAAGAGGAACAACTAACCGCACATCCAAAGGAAGTGAAGGGTGTGGTGCGCCCGTTAAGAGAGTGAGGTGAACCGTGACGCGCCATTTTGCGAATTCGGGACTTCGGGTTTTATTGGACCGTAGGTTTCGGGATTTCAGTTATGACTTTACCCCCCCCCCCCCTCCCCCTCTTTTCGGTAAATTGGATGATTACGGTGCGCGGGTGCGTTTATGGCTTTAATTAGCTGAAGGGTTTGGAAGTGAAATTAGTTTGGGCTTTGATGGCCCGTTAGGGAGCCTTGGTTAGCCCAATTTTGGTAGAAACGGACCATAAATATTTCTACTAACGGGTTTAAATCATCCCTAATAGACCCAAATATGGTAGTCCTGCTTATCCTGCTGAAACTAGGGCTAGACAGTTTTCTGGTCTTGGCCCAATTGGAAAATATCCCGTAAGTTCAGCCCAAGCCCATTCGAAACCCAACTTCTTTATATCCATAGAATAGACAAATGTTGAAACCAGATCAGGAATCCGTTCACCATCGATGGTTTTGCTGTTTATATCATTTTGCTAACACAAAGCTCTTCAGGCATAATAAGCATCCTGAAAGACAAAAGACTTTTCTTTGGGTATGAAAGGGCGAAGCATGCATTGACAAGTAAAACAAAAACTTTGCATTTCCTTTCCACAAATCAAATCACTATTAAACACCACAACCCATAATGGCATCATTTTTTTTTTTTTTTGGGGGGGGGGGGTACTATAATGGCATCATTTTCAGAATCATAAAAAATAAAAGTACCAAACGTTCCATTAAGCATTTGTACACGACTTTGACGAGTAAAGCATAACCTATATGGAACTTTAGCATCCTCAATCGTACTAGTGTTGAGGTTGAGACTCGTTACAGAACCGTTTGAAGTTGAGAGATTCATCCGCCAAGAAATCACTGAAGAAACCAATTCACATCAGCGAAGACATAGGAAACAGATTAAGAACTACAAAGACACTAACAGTACTCACAATATCCGCTCAGACATTTGTGATACTTCCCATCTTGGACTCCATGGATATTCTGTTAGAAGAGGTGACTTTTTTGGTACTCCTTGCGGTGATATATGCTGCAATAAGTCACAATGATAACCCATTTGATTAGCAAATTTGCAAAAGAACCATTCAATCAGACAATAGTAGAAAAAAGATGATTCTCTAACTAGTAGATGAAGCCTACTTGGGCTTTTCAAAGCCAGTTGGGGAACTGATAGTGCACAGAACCATAAAAGCTAGTTGATCATCAAACTCAGTCAGAATGTCATCAATATACGTATAATTAACATGTTCACTTTTGAGAGATATTCAAGACCTTATTATCAATCTGTCTTAAAATGGGTTCTCACTATTGTACTCAAGAGCCCACGTACTTCAGATATTAGGAAAAGAAAATAACAATACCTGAGAACTTTGGAGCATCAGAGCTGGCTGCTGCTTAGGAAACTGAGTTGAAAAAAGAAAGTGCACCTACAGTAACAGTACAGTAACTTATGACAAAGGGCAATTTGAGCAGAAAACCAGTAAAAAAGAATATAGGTATCACAAGGTAGATACATGCACTAAAATCAAATGCAATCATCACATAACTAAAATTTCTTAAATGATCTGGAATTTCATTCATGCTAAACTGGAATAGTCCCCTATTAGGTCTAACTATTAAAAACACCAAAAAAGATGATGGTTCAATCAGAAAGTATCTAAAGGTACCAGGAAAACAAAGGATCCAGAAGAAGCAAGAAATGTGGCCTTTCTGCAAAAGACCTGCCAAGGAAAGCAATGACAAACTAAAAATCAATGTCAATGGTTCTAATGCTTCATAGATATAGATAAATGGCATGATTAATGCACACCGGATCAGCTTCCAGAGGTCTTCCAAACAATGGGGTTAATGCTTCTATAAAGCATCTTCTTATGTCAATTAATGAAACAGCTTCCAGGACCTGGAGTACAAAGGACATTAAAGAACACTCAATATACAGAGTAAACCCTAGATTATAGGAAAGAAGCTGACCTGTTTCTGAAGAGATTCTTCTAGGTGAGGAAGATATTCAGCCATGCACCTTCAAATGAGAAGGTAAAAACCAACAGAGATTTGTCAGCACAAATTGTGTGAATCTTTTCGGATATGCAACACATAAAGGCAGAATTATGAGTACAACTCACATTCCATCCAACCATGAAGGAAGCTTGACATCATCGATAGAAAACAGAGCTCTCAGCTCGATAGTCGACATTAATTTCAAACGAGGTGCCGAAGGAGTAGATGCATACTTTCTTCCAACAGGATAAATTACCTGCAACATTACAAACTTCGTTAGAGGTATGAGAAGAATGGAGGGCAGAAGGGATGAAAGAATTTGAACAACAATTCAATTATGTAAAAGTTACTTTTTAAGAATTAAATTACACATAAACAAAGAGAAAAGAAGGAAAATGGAACCTGTAAGTATATCTTTTGTGGATGTCTCCAGGGGCAACCATGCACCATTTTGTTTATGTTCATATCCATTAGAGGCACAGCAAATTTGACCTCTTCTGGCTACGCTAAAATTCAAAGGCATATGGACCATGGATTTAATTAAAAACCAATTATGTTTCCAAGTACACTATCTATGCATAAAGACCATAATCCATTAAAGGAATACCTTTTCAGCACCTGAACTAATATGCATTTCAATTCCCTGCAGCACAGTTAAATTGGAGAAGAGAGAGGAGTTAAGGCATTAATCAACTAGTTCAGTTTACAAATGCAAATGTTTTACAAAAATGAACTTCAACAGTTAAAACAGTAAACTAAGTTAATACTACATGGAAAAACAAGGAATAGATTCAGATCATTCAGCCTGAATATTTTGCACATTGACATCAATGAATTGATAGTGACTAAAGATACTAAAAAGTTCAAAATGCAATTATATGATGGCCATACTTTTACCTTTCAGTTCGTCCATGCTAGAATAGAAATGCACAAAAAATAGAAAGGAAGTACAGGATAAAGACATGTATATTGTGGTTAAAATATGCAATGACAATGGTCAATATTCAATAACAGGCTTTCTGAGATGAGACCTACAAGCATTGAGAAAAAGGTAGTAAAAAAGAAATGTCTGTAAATTACTTGCACATGATTGCCTCATTCATTACTCTTAACCTCAAAGCATATTAATAAAAGAATCGCAATTCAGATTAAGAAAATAACACAGAGCAGGATTTTCAAATCTTTTTCCATCAGAAACCAAACTTAAATGCCAAAACATTACCTCTCGTGAACAAATAGTGCTAATCTCAAATTTCAACCTATCATCATCCACTTCTCCAACACGTTTCCTCTGGTAGGACATATATTGATCCCTATTTAAAAAACAAAAACATAAATTTCTTTAAATTTCTTTGCTCTTTTTCCACAACCATAAAAGATTTTGATTTCCATTACAATAGCAACTGCAAGTAAACACCAAGCCTAACCTCATCTCCTGAATTAAAGCTAGCAGCCTTGTTGGGTCTTTATTGTTCCAATCAGACAAAATGTTCCGAGTCAGTGACTTCAAGTCTCCCTCTCCTTCAGCGCCAGTCATGTGTAAAGGGTGAAAGTCCTCATCTTCGGGTCCAAAAATAATATCTGGCGGAGCCAGTGGAAACTCCGCATTGTATATAACATCCCCTGGATCAACGTAAATAAATTTATTTATAAAAGATCAACTAAAATTTACTAACAAATCTTGCATTTCGCAATCAAAAATCTCACTGACATTTGATATAGTCTAAGCAATATGGGATAAGCAATGTAAACCGATCGAGGCCCACGCCGTAGGATTTGTTGCCACCAGACACCACTTGCTCAACCTGCAAAATGAAATTTATGAGAAAAAATGAAAATTTTGTTACTCTTATTTATTGGTAGAAGTATAAAGGATAAACAATGGAACCCTAATTCCGATAAAAGGAATGTTATTGATTGAAATGAGAAATTAGATGGAAATATCTAATAATTTAAACTGAAAAGAAGAGGGTGTAGGGTTAGATGGAATTACCTTGATTTTATCAGGAAAATGATTGAGGAGGTAATGGAGCTGAGCTGAAATGAAAGGAGGGAAGCCATCGAAAGACATGCCTAGCTCCCTAACTCTCCAAGAGATTAAATCTGAAGCTTTTTAATTGGAACTGCTTAAAACCGACGATTCTGCGGCGACGGGCTATCGAATTACTCGCCGGCGATCAACTGGTTGACCGAGAAGGAAAAAGAGCGAGTGAGCAGTGAATGCGTTAATGCTAAGTAATCAGTTCAAAAAGCAAGAATTCAAGAGGCCATTGATAAGTGCAAACGACGTCGGCCTGATTCAACTTTTCGTCACTGTTGCAACGACATCGTTTGGAAGCAACCAAAATCTGATAGGGGTAGAATCGTCACTTAAAAACATTGAAAGCCCTAAATCGCCCTTTAAATACCCCTTAAAACTGCCACCGTTCTTTTTACGTAATGACGGTTGCGGAGTTTGAATAATAAACCTTTATTTAATATGAAATATTAAAATTTATGTATTTATATTATATTTTATATAAAAATTATATATCATAGTAATTGTAATTTGTATTAATATAAAATATAAAATATTTTTTATTTTATTAAAATTATATATAATAATTATTAAAATTTTATGTCATATTCTTAGACATGCAGAAGGGCTCAAAGAATACTATAATCCCATTTAACATATGAGCAAAGTTCTAAGCAATTATTATTATGTCAAATAGTGAACTAGTTAACCACTTTTGAATTGGTTAGGCCTACTACACTTGGTAACTTTGTCCATATTCTAATCCGTCACCAGCAGCACAACTAGGTTATACGGAAAGCACCTTGTTCTTGTTCTTTGTCTCTTTTCTCGTACGTCCCTATTCAAATGTTTCTTTCACCGCAATATTCCCAGACGCATACCTGAAACCAAACTTCAATCTGATGTGGCATATCTTTACCTGTTCACAAAATTGTCTGTACGGTTGAATCTGTTATATCAAGATGTAAACAAATAACTAGGAAATCCCATTCAGCTTGTATTTTTGAATGTGATGATCTTTCCAGCTCCTTATTTTCCCACTGTTTACGTTCATAATTCCAACTGCTCCAATTGCATTCTATATATAACGCCATCCTGGAGCATCAAATTTCGTAAAAACCTATGTTTTTCACAAGAATGAAGACCTTCAAAACCCAAAAACCATGTCTCTTTTTCTTTCTTGTGCTACTCTCTTTCTCAATATGTCCAGTACATTCTCTACCTTCAGCAGGAACGACTAAAACAACTACAAACCAGGAGGAAATTCCTGCTGGCGTCCCCCAAAGTGAAGGGAACAATGCTCAATTGCTCACTTCCCCTCCCAACGTTACTCCGATTAACAAGATTCCATTTGCTAAACCTGTTGGCAACCAAGGGCTGCAACAACTGGGTTACCAACAGCAACAAAAGCCCATCTATCCAGAACAGAGCATTAACCGGCCTCTTTCAGGCATTAATCAGCCATATTCTACTGTAAACCAGCCTTACTCCGGATTTACTCAGCCTTTTGGGGCTAGTATCCAACAGGGCCCACTGCAAAACGCTGCTTTTGGTAATGGCGTTTCAAAGGAGAATACTTGCATTCAGGGTGTTGTCTTGGTTTCTTTACTTAATTTGATGATTTCCTTCGGGTTTCTTGTTTAGGACTCCATTGCAAAGTGATGAACAATAAATATACAATGATCTAGGTGTTAATGTATCCTAATTTTATTCCACGTTTATTTGATGTAAAATCGAATATTAGACATTTCATCTCTTCTCTGCATCCTTAAGATATGATGATTAGATACCCCAAGATACCATTTCTCCGCATCCTGTGACCTCAGATTCCACATCCCCTGGTTGTCCAATTCGATCAATATTGCTGTCCATGACGATGGATATACTACTTGTTTGTAATTAACATACAACAATTAATCACATGTACAAAATTGTGAAACGTAGTTCAACTCAATTTTTTACAATCATCAAAACCTGAATTGTTGATCTAGAAACAGCTTCAATCATGTTATATCCTGCTGTCTCGCTTTCATCCCACACGCCCCAATCCATTCTGCAGATAGGATTGTACCAGTTTCATTAGGCGGATGATATGTAACACTATGAATTTGCAAAAGATTGAGCAAATTTGCTTTACCCAACCACAAAAAAGTTTAAGCCATCAATGTGCCATGTTTGCACTTCTGGCAGAGGATTCTAAAGTAAATATGGTAGAAAATCATGGTATAGGACATCGATGACGAAGGTGCCAAAAGATGGCCCCCTAACCACCACCAGCTTTGTACAGAAGTGAAGGAAAATAAAAGAAACTTCCTATCTGATCCCTAAGCTGAATGCTGTAAGTCCAGTTTTGGCCAGGCAGGATATGGCAATTCATCTCTTGCACTCCATCATGCCATGAATTCTTCCTCATTTGAATTCCGTTCCTATATTAAAAAAAAAAAAAACATATTTTCTTTCACTTAGAGGGAAACAGCATTCAGTAAACATCAATGTTTCTAAGCAAAAAAAAAAAAAAGTGTACTTGTTATAATTATGGAAAGACTTGGTCTTGATTTTCCATATTGTAAACTGACATGTCATGAGAAAGGGATCTATCAAGTTGTTCCGAATATTAATACTCAGAGTCATTTGTTGTTGCATTCGGGACTGGCCCTGGGAACATATCATTGGTCACTATAACCTCATGTCATGATAAATATTTGGTAAAAAGAATAAAAAATATATGAAAACTCAACTAAAATTTTTTAAGACAATGGAAAAGAAGGTACTAATGAGAAATGAAAAGGACCTGATATGGTTCATTGCACAGACCTGAAAAACACAAACCTGGCTATATTGGGTAAAGGGGGAAGGTTATGGTTTGGTTTTCAAGTGTTTTCTCGGCAGGAAAGAATTCCATCAAACAACAGAACAAAAGAAAAAAAAAAAAAAAAGAATAACTCAGAGCCTATAATCTTAGATGGAGATAGTAAAATCCTGGCATCTCACGTCGACGCTTATTGTGTTTAACACTTGATTGTCTGCTTGCCTCCTCTGTTCATTGTCTTGTGGCTTCTCTGAACTCGATACAAATTAAAAAACATTGAACATTGTTTAATATTTTGAATTTAACGGTAATTTGTCTCTTTGGGCGGTAACAGCCCTGTCTGTACGTTGAACATGGGATACTCAACCTTCACATGCTCCTCGCTTGGCAATGATCAAATATTTGTGTATTGCCTTCAATTTACCCAGTTACATAAATATGTGGGGCAAGCTTAGGGGCCAAAACTGCGGCGACGAAGACAAGACCTCGAATTGGGAAAACCATTGTCTATCTAGTGTGTCAAAATCGAACAATGACAATAACTCGAAAAGAACCTCGTTATCTTGCACGGACATCTTGCCCGACAACTCACAAGTAGATGCCAACTAGATAGATCATATAGATAAGGCTTCAAAGGACAAGGAACAGCTCTTCCCCCCTTATCCATCCAAATTCAAGGATGCAACATTGGCTTGAAAAGTGAAAACAGATCATGCCGTATAAAATAATTAAAAAAAAAAACTGAATCCGAATCCTTCTCAAACTTCAGCTTCATCAGAATTCTGAAAATTTCCCTCATTGGCAAGCAAGCCAAAGTGGAAATTTTGTTTTAATCTTGAGTTAAACATTAATAAATGAAATAAGAAGCAAGAACTAGCTAGGGAGTAGGGAGTAAGCACTAATAATTTAATCCACGAAGTTCCAAAAATTCTGAAGCGCCGACGGTTTCTCTGAGTCAGCATGTGTGGGAGATCCATAATTTCCAAGTGGTTAAGTACTTAGTAATCCGTTAACCCAACCGAGCTAACCCTGGTTAACCAGCTCTATAAATAACCTTATCCATCTAGCTAGTGCCCCACCTCAAAGCAAACAGCGAACGATCAACAATCACAATATGGCTTCAACATCTTCTATTTTCGCTTCTTTCAGCTCCCCCTCTGCTCTTTTCATGGGCCCCAAAGTTTCCATCAAGGAACTCAGTTCCATTCCGACACGTGTCCAGTTCCGGCCACTCCGTATCTCCGCCACTTGTACATCAACGGCTGAGAGAACAATTTCCCACATTGCTTCGCCATCATCATTGTACGAGGTATTGGGGATCCAGATGGACGCCACGTGTCAGGAGATCAAGGCTGCTTACCGGAGACTGGCGCGAGTTCTACACCCCGACGTATCTGCTAACGGTCAAAATAACGCCACGGCACACGAGTTCATCAAAGTTCACGAAGCTTACTCTACCCTGTCTGATCCTGAGAAACGCGCCGATTATGATCGAACGTTGTTGTTCAGGCCAAGGCCGTCGTCTGCCGTGTCAACGTCTTCTGGATTTTCTGGTTATACGAGACGATCCTGGGAAACGGATCAATGTTGGTGAAACTTCGGACTGATTATGAGTGAAAGTTTTGTCCCTAATTTTCATTGTACGTGTTGGGCCTTTCGGCTTTTGGGAAATAACTGATTGCTGCTAATTCTGTCTGTAAATATAAAGACACTATTTGAACTAAAACAGGCTGCTTTTTTATAGCCTGAGTTTATTAAGGTTGGAATTTTGTGTTGTGTTTTTAGTGTTCTGTTTCTTTCAGTTTCATTTTGAATATACAATGCCTGAAAATTTGGATTGAATGGTACTAGAAAATCCCAATCTCAATCTGTTGATTGTAGTAATATTCTAAGCCTGAGTTGCATGGATCCCACTCGGACTAGATTGGTGACATAAATTAGGCAAATTCAAAGTTTCAACGACTCTGAAACTAGAAATCAAGCAAATTCTAACGGATAATGATAAGTTGTTTGAATACCAGTTTCATGGTCGGATAGCAGACTCATCAAATCAAATGTAATTAAAAGGGATGGGGAATTTTTACTTTCCTCGTGGTTTCATTATGGAACCAAGAAGAAAACACCAATTCCCTCTGTTTCGCGAAGGGAGATTTGCAAATAAGAAGCCGAAAAAGTAATCTAATAGGAAACTACAATATGAATCAAGTTGCAACATAAAGGAAATGTTTAGTCATTTTATTCCATTAACTTGGTAGAATCGTAGAGACTATAATGTGTTTGTTACTACTAATCCTTGTCCAGGATAAACTCAACAGCTCAGCAAAAAGCCGAAAAGATCTTCAAAAATATCTGGAAAAAAGGTCGAATACTACAAGTCTATGCTTATCTAATTCATGACCCAACTTCAACATCTTTCACCATCCAATGTTAACAGCTATAATTTTTTCTACACTTTCTGAGGAAGACTGCGTATTTTATCATGAATGCGGTCGTTGAATTTCTTGATCTTACGGAAACCTTAAACAATAATCACTCCTTGATGTGACATTTCAATTACATATAATTTAGTTATTAAGTAAAATTAATAAATTTATGATTTATTAATTAAGTAAAAAATAGTCTAAAAATTAATTACATAATTCTAAAAAGGTTTTAATTTCAAAGGCAACGTTGCCCCCACTGTAATCCGGCTAAAACCTATGCAAGGAAGGCTTTAGGGAACTGTTTTTTAGGCAGGCCTTTGAGGGATTCCCTTCACGGGCTCTTCGACCTCAAACCCACCAACTTCTGGACATAAATAGGTGGCCTAAAAGCTAGAGCAATAGTTAATGGCCTTCATAAAATTGAGTAGTTCGCTATTGGAATCATTATTTTTGGGTTTCCATTAGCAATCAAGCCAACTTCACCACAAATCTATCACCCAAGAATCTAAAGGAAATGCTTTCCAACCATAAACACCAACTGCCACTGAATTTGTCCGCCTCTCTTGTCCAGCCAATCTGTTATCCTCTCCCAGGTTTCTGTCGTTTCATCTCTGTTTTTCACCTCTTTTTTGTCTTGTCTTTCGTCATGGTTCTACTTGGCTTAAGTTCTTCCTCCACTTCAAGGCCTCAATTCTGCTTAGAGGCCTCTGTGGTCCTTTTTTCTTTTGTGCCAGAAAACAATGGCAATGACAGTCAATGCAGCAGTATCTCTCCCATCTTCCAAGTCATCTTCTCTATCATTTAAAAATTCAATCACTATCCCTGAAAGAATCATCTTCAACAAGGTATGATTTCTTTGGGAAGAAAGCGTATTTGTATTGACTCGTTTATTCTGGTGTTTATGTCCGCCGGTTTCTTCTGCAGAGTGTTTTGTACTCCAGAAATGTCATCGCTGGTGGAAATGTGGTTTCCATTAGAGCTCAGGTCATTGCAGAGGCTCCTGCAAAAGTAGAAAAAGTTTCCAAGAAAGATGACGAGGGTGTTACTGTTAACAAGTTCAAGTCATAGAATCCCTACATTGGAAAGTGCCTTCTCAACACCAAAATTACAGGGGATGATGCTCCAGGAGAGACTTGGCACATGGTTTTTAGCACCGAAGGTGAATTTTTAGCAACTTTGGAGCTTGTTTTAATATTTGAAAACATTTTTTTAACCATGTTTGGTGGCCTTGTGTCAGCTTTGTGCATTTGATTATTTGCGGTTGGATGGCAGAGGGGAAGTACCATATAGAGAAGGACAATCCATTGGTGTCATTGCTGACGGTCTTGACAAGAATGGAAAACCCCACAAACTTAGACTGTACTCTATCGCTAGCAGTGCTTTGCGAGACTTTGGCAATTCTCAAACTGTAATTCCTTCATATATTTTTAAAGGATTGTTTTTTGGGGGGATGCATTGGTTTTCTATGGTTTTTGTCTCTTTAATTCAGATTGATATCTAACCTGATCGCGATGTACTTGTAATTGCAGGTTTCCTTGTGTGTCAAAAGGCTTGTTTACACCAATGAACAAGGAGAGATAGTAAAAGGAGTTTGCTCAAATTTATTGTGTAAGGATTTTAAAATTTCTTTTTTCTTTTAAATCCTCTGTATCTATGACTTGCAATACTGAAAAGTAAACCAGGTTATAAATCTAAGAAAACCCTCACTTTGGCCACGCTTATAGCACATTTAAGATTGATATCTTGAACAAAATATACAAGAGACCACCTAGGATAGAAATCTGAGTAATGATCTTCATGACGTAGTTCTTATTTCTTGAGGTTGCCGATGTGTTTAATCTTCAGCATGTTGGTTTGTTAGCTAATAGCTACCATCTTTTTACCTTAATATCTAGCCATGAGAACTTTTTTTCTTAACATTATAAAAAAGTTCTATTATCTCTACATATAATTCTTTCTGATATGAATGGGGTGGTCTTCCAAAATGTAGATTGACAATACGTTGCACATATCCTTTATCTAGTAGTAAGAATGGGAACCAAGTTACTGCTGAAACATAAATAAACATCATGCTTTCAGGTCTATCCATAGTAACATCTTCTGGGTTCTATATGTTATTTGTTTTCCTCTTTTGAAAACTTATCATATAATTAAACTTTGGATGTGTTTGGTACACAAGATTATGATAGGGTAAGATAGGATGACGTTGTGAATAGGATTAGATTAAATAATGCCATTCTATTTTGTGTTTGATGTATGCAAGAATTAGGATAGGATAATTTATTTATTTGTCAAAATTATCCTTACTCAAAATTTATACAATTTAAATTATTGATGTCATTTTTAAAGGTATAATAGGACATGTAAGTTCAATCCCACGATTAAAAATAATTCTTCCACTTTGAGAGGATCGAATCACCATATACCAAGAGGATGATTAATCCTCCTTGTAATCCTATCTCTTTCTTTAGATACAAACCAAACATAATATAAGATGATTATCATCCTGTCTTATCCATCATCTTATGCACTAAACATGACCTTTATATGTTGGATTGAATAAAAACAGCTGGCAAGGTCGATGCCTTCTTCCTTAGGTGCCAAAAGCTGACCCATATCCAAGAACAATTGAAACGTTTTGTCCTTTGTAACTATAAGAAATCATTTACTGATTCAGTTGAAGACATGACAAATAAATGTAACATTTTCCAAATATCGTGTTGATAGTTTTGTTATTGAAGCTGATGGAGCCTAGGGAAAGTTGTCAGCTTTATGTTAAAATAATCACCTTTGATAGTTTTATTATCATTTATCAATTGTAATTGCCCCATTCAGGTGACTTGAAGCCTGGTGCTGAAGTGAAGATCACAGGACCTGTTGGGAAAGAGATGCTTATGCCAAAAGATCCAAATGCCACCATCATAATGGTGGCTTTTTATTATTAGCTCTTTCAAGAGTATCATATAGCTAAGGACTTGTTGGGTTAACATAATTACCATCCTGTTATTTGGGCATTTCTTAACATGTTTATGTTTGGTTTCCTTGTTGCAGCTTGCAACTGGAAATGGAATTGGAATTGCTCCTTTCCGTTCATTCTTATGGAAGATGTTCTTCGAGAAACATGACGACTACAAGGTAGGTGTGATATCTAGAGCTTACAAAAACAAATTGGCAAGTTGTTGTAAGTACTTGACCTGTTGTTGGTATGAGATGCAGTTTAATGGGTTGGCTTGGCTCTTCTTGGGTGTTCCGACCAGTAGCTCACTGCTCTACAAGGAGGCAAGCTTTCTTAACCTTTACATTATTCATTTATTCTTTCTCTAGGTACTGGAATTTATATCGGATTAGAAATTTGATCTGTTCTATTTATGCTTTCATATCAGGAATTTGAGAAGATGAAGGAGAAGGCACCAAATAATTTCAAGGTGGATTATGCCGTGAGTAGAGAACAAACAAATGACAAGGGTGAGAAGATGTATATTCAAACCCGAATGGCTCAGTTTGCTGAAGAGCTATGGGAATTGCTCAAGAAAGATAACACCTATGTCTGTATGTGCGGACTAAAGGGAATGGAAAAGGGAAGTGATGACATCATGATCTCTTTGGCTGCCAAAGATGATAACTTATATTATGGGCGATTTGACTTACAGCATTTTCAAAAGAATGATTTGATCTCCTAACTTTTGCTTCATCCAGGTATTGATTGGATTGAATCAAAGAGACAATTGAAGAAATCAGAACAATGGAACGTTGAAGTCTACTGATCTTGGCGGCATTTATTTTGCCATTCAGTCATTTCCTCCTTTCTCTTTGCCCCATTTCTTATTAACTTCTTTGATGTAAAAGTTGAATTATCAGCTGAACTCGTAAATTCTTACCTCAAGACAGGTTGTATGGTGCAAATTTGAAGGAGAAAACTCCTTGTCACGGTAACTTATGTTATTTTGATTTTGGTCATCGTCTGAAGTGACGAGAAACTCAACATTGTATCAAATTACTTGATGGAAAGGCAATGCAAGGGTTGATCCTGAGACCCTTGTGTGGGGGTTGGTTTGGTTTGGATGAGTTAAAGCTTAATGTACGGTCCTAATGGTAAATCTGTAATAGAAAGGGTAACATACGAAAATGGGCTAACAAGCCCAATATTTAAATAAAGGTACTAAACAAACGAAAGTTCAATAAGCTAAAATTTAGCCTTTATGGGTTTGGATTAACTTGTTTTGCTACAAAGATGAATGGGCTTTGAGGATTTAAGATTCTTTGATGAAATTTATTAATAAAAAAATTAAATTTATCCTATTAAAATATTTACAATAAAATTGATCCTAATGTAGTCTATCAGTGGGCTAATGGAAAGTATTGAGCATCTGCCAGTAGATGGTAATGAGACAATAACAGATCTGTCATGATAGAAAC